GACGTACATGAAATGACCTGCTCTATAAGAATGCATCAACACATACTATTAAATTTATATGCTCAGAGGTGTGTTCGTCTTTGTAATTAACAAGTTACAGACAATTATTTTTTACGAGTGTAATATTTATTTTCTGCAGCTGGGCCCGTTTTGCACTCATTAATGTCCTTGTGCTATGATGCTATCATCATGTGTGTATGGATCTAAATATCCTCTTTGCAATGCCTACAAAAGCCAAAATGACGTCAACCGACCCCAGCTCACGCATTTGACGCGAAAACTGCGGGACGTATTCGCTCGTCAACAGTCAATTCGTCGATGAATATTTGAATTCGCGTTTGCGGCCAATGAGTGCGCATGAGTGCACTTGCGAATGAAAAGTTCTATGGTGTGCATAAAAAGCACGGTGGAAGCTTGGGGTCATCGCACCGGTGCCCTAGCATGTCACGACCGCGTGATTCCACTGTTCTTTTTTGAGTTGAGGATTAAAGCTAAGGAAGAAGTTAAAGAATCATTTCATGGCCCCTTTAGCACGGATGTGCGTGCTACACCAGATAAAAATATTGACATTTTGCATGCCGGTAAACTTCCGGACGACCACTTGGCCTGTCGGCAAGAACACCTCATATCCCGCATCCGTCTCTTTTGATGACGTTAACAATCCTCTGTAGACCACCGTGCTGTCCTTCCTGGTTTAACCCCGTCGACTGTTCATCGCCCAAAATGAGGGTGATACCGTCGTTGACGTCGCTCCTCGCCAGTCGGTGAGATAATCTCATCTTGAATGAATGATTGGGTCTTGAAGTATGGTGCTAAACATACATTCTCTTACTATGGGGCAGTCGAGCAGCAGTCATGTCCCAAGGCAATCGTCCTGTCATGGCCGGCATAATCGGATTTTGTTCCATAGGAGCGAAGTCCGAAAGTGCAAGGACGGTACGTTCGTCCCACGAAGCGGCCGCCATCCCGGCGGCGCGGAAAACCACTCGCCTTGTCAGTGCACGCTGCAAATCGTCTTATTTCACAGAAGAATCAGGCACCGCTCCTCTAGAGGCCCGTGCCGTACCGCCATGCAAAGCGTCTTTTAGGTCTTTTACCACTTTTCAATGAACGAAGAGAGATATCAACTAGATAAAGGTTGCCGCCCGGTGTCGCTAGCAGTACGGTTACCATAGAAACCTCCCAGGCCCAAAATGGAGTTCACTATAGGCGCTTCTGACGTCGTGCATCTAGATAATTTTGCGTCGTGTCGCTACTCTGGCAGCTACGCTGCCATATAGAGTGGCTCTAGTAATACCTGGAGGGGCCATGACGTAAGCCCCGTGCATCCCACAAGCCACTACCTTTTGACACCTGCCTCTTCTTCATTGTTCCCGCTCGTGCCAGTAAATTTGCTACGTTTCAGAGTAATGACACTTGGCCATATTGTGGCTTAAAATCATGGTTGCCAGTTATATGAAGCTTTATCTAAAATCACAGGAAACGCTTTTCCATCCCTCACAAATGTTCAAACAACCCGCGACAGAGCATTGCAATATTGCATCAGCTTCCTAGCACCACATCTAATGCTGAGGAAGTCGTACCTTTGGATCATGATGATCGGCAGTTGCGTTTGCTCTGAGCAAGACCCAAAATGGCGGCGCCCAAAACAATTTTGGGGAACGGAGTGCCGATAATTTAAGCCTCATTTAGTGACTCTAGGCATAAAGTGAACTCGGGTGTATTCTTTTCCTTTTCGTCTTCATTGTTTACTGATTTCAATCATATCGAATAATGAACCCATTATATCACGCTACGCTTGTGTAATTATTTGTCTTAGATTTATTAGCCTGACCCAGTACTTAAACCATTCAGTTATCGACAGTAAATCTTCCAATATAGTTTTTAAATGTGAGGGTAAAAAGACACGAAGATTGATGATGATACAGACGTCAACGCCGCCCTCGGAAATTTTTTGAACATTAGGAATCAGCAGTTTGTCTGCCATCCGCCAGGTAGCGCAACAAAACACCCAAACAGTTTTTAATTGTTTTTAAAATTAGCTAAGCTCTACACGTATTAAGAAACCAAAGCAAGATCATTGTGAAAATTTAATACATCGCAATGTATATCTATTCCAAGCAATAAATATTATTAGATGCCAATAAATCTGTTTGATGTCCAAAAAAGATATGCGTCAAAACAGGTAAGTTTGAAACGCTCCTGGAGCGTTATGACTTTGAAAATGAAAAAAAGCCATCGTCCACCTCTTGGGCAACCATTTTAGCTCTAAATGTTATAAAAGATTTGATTATAGTTTAATTATTTCCTCAGCGGCATTTGAAGTACCATGACTCGAAGCACAAAAAAGTTCTACGTTTGATATAAAATATCTAAACAAAAAAAGTTTACACAACATTAAATTTTTTTCTGCATATTACCAATTATAAGCAATACATCTGTGACTAATTTCATTGCCCTAGCGTGTGTCATTAAAAACATATTTGTGATGAAAAATGTCAATTTTAGGGCAATATTTGGAGGGATGAAAAAAACAAAGTAGTGCAAATACCAAAAAAGTGTATCGTTACATTCTGCTCCGACATCATCTTAACAAAACTGCTATATTGGAACCGTGTTATCTTTAATGGATTTTTCATAAATCATGAACTAGCGGAGCAAGTGAGGGTCCGCGCCATCATATTGGCAACGCTACGAATGCGCATGAATAGTAAAAACCAACACAAACATAATATCAAATGAAAGAGGATTGCATTGCCTTTCAAATGACATCAATCCCACAAAACAGTATTTAAGAGGAGATGAGTAATGACCTGCCAAAAAGTACCTAAACTGCCACGTTCAGTGGGACCGTGGCCTTAAAAGGACATCGACACTCCCCCCAAATTTTTTTGTTCCTATTTTGCCAGGCGCTTTATTACGGTGTCGGAAGACTACCCAATTAATATTTTGTAACAGGGTCACGTATATTTTTAATAAAACCAAAAAACGCAACTGCTCCAAACCGAAACCAAAACCTTCGCACGGAGGTCGGAGAGGTGGAGAGGAGAGTTTGAGTGGCGGAAGTCACGTGGCTACACCCGACCGTGAGCTTTTTTGTTTTATTTTTTCTTCTGCGTGCAGCAGGCGACATGTGCTGCGGGAAACCGTTTGCCGTGCGATTCCTTTGCAGTTATGTTTGTTCCGCTCGCTGTGCTGCCCTTCAAGATGAGTTGTTTTGTGCATTCAAGAGTTGGAGATCAGTAGTGAGTGCATGTGGTGAATTTCCGTGACCGGCTTCGGAAAGGATACTTCCAAGATGTTGCATGAAAAGCTGCCTCACATGTCCTGCCTCCGAAAAGAGTGGCATTGTGCCGCAGAGTCTGCCCATGTTTCCGAAAGGTCAACGGGATCTGAACCAATGCCTGGCTGCAATTCCTGTGGAACATTGACGAGCACCTCGGAAAGCGCACGCTACCCGATTTATATGCTCCTTGCATGGTGTGGAAAGTGATTACATTGATTTAGCAAGCGTCAAAATGAAAATCCCATACCATTTAGTTCAGCGACGTTTCGTCCCCAATGTTTGTTTTTCGAGTGCATCGCAAAATGTTTGACAAAAGGAAAATAAACGCTAGCGATCGAACCCGTGCCCGCTGCGTGTGAAGCGGAGATCTTTCCACTGAGCTACTGGGTGAACGCTTCGTAATAATGCAGCCGGTCGCCAGTAGGTCGGAAAGTTTACTGCCGATTTTCCTCCAATAAAAGCACTGTCGGGTCAAAGTCGGGCAGCACCACGCATTGGCCACATTCGCACCTAGTAAAGAAATCGTACGCGTACATATTCATATCGAAGTACGCACTTCGTGCTTGACGTTTGCACAAGCTATGTCTTCAGCCACGAGAAGGGGCAACGGCTCGGCGAAATCTTCATGCGAATCAGCTTGGTGGTCGGGCGTTTCGTACGGGATGAGTACCAATTCCTTTGATCGGTCCGAACTTTCTTTCTCGAAGGAAGACAGATTCGCCGGTACCACGAATGACAGTTCTGAAGTAGCGGTCCCACGTCCGCCGTCCGCTGCCATCGCTGTCCCCGCGAGTCCCACGATACGCGAAACGACGCACGCACAGAATGCTTCCGGTTGTCTGTGGAACTTTTTTTTAACCAACGTATTTGCAGTTTTTTAGAAGCCACAAAAAGTGGTTTCATATATATATTTTTTTTCTAATATCGAGTGTTTGCCTTCAATGACCACCGACTTTGATTAAATTTGGTGGTTGTGTCTAAACCTTAGGAAACGGCCCGTGACCACGGAAAAGAGAGTGAGCGCGACTCAAACAGGCCAGTTCTTGATCGGCCGTTTTCGGGCGGAAAGGAACCGGATTTCGAGCCACAAATTCTGTTCTGGGTAGTTGGGCTGTCATGTACAACTAAAAGCCTCGGCGAGCATAAATACCCTGTAAGTGTCCCTTCTAAGGCGCTAGACGACGCCCTTAAAAAATATCTATAGGTCACGTAAAATAAAAACCTCGGCGAGTATAAATACTCTGTCAATGTCCATTAAAAAAAAAAAAAAAAACAGTGCGCGGTTTATTCTGCTCCTTGCTTCCTTCTTCGGCATTCGTACCGGCAAATGACGCTTTCTTATTGGGTACCGAGAGATTATAAAAGGCTCATAAGTCGTCAGGCCCTAACGCTTCGTAAGCTGTGAGCGACTATAATGGATTTCAACAGAGTACGTGTATTGTACTTGAAATGCTGGGAAGACGTGGAAACAAATTCTGGAGTTGGTGTAGTAAACTCTGAGTTTAAACTTTAAGTTTACGGCGTCTCTGTGATTGCTTCGGATGAATACAGGAGATTTTCCGTCTTTTTACAGAGGCAGCACAGTGACCTATAGATGGGTTTCAGCGATAAGGATAAAGGGACCCACAGGAGACATCATTGAAATGCGAGAGTTTGTCATACAGTTTTTATTTCGACCGGAACAGCCTGGTCCGTAAACAAGTTGGTCCGCGAATTACGTGGTAATTCCCGCGACGTATTTGATCCAGTCCACCTGGGTAGAGATTCTCGCGAACACCCCGGGCTGGTTTTCCCCGGCGCACTTGACTCCCCAGGACGTAGCCCCGGCCAGGACGTAGCGACCGTCCGACCTCCTGCACTGCAAGGGTCCTCCAGAGTCTCCCTGCAAAATGTTACGCAAAAAAGAAAAAGAAATCAGAACGGTGGTCATTGACAATTTTCATGGAATATGCGCTCCCTTTTTTCTTAGAATGTATAGCCTATACTATAGACTATACATTTTAAGAAAAAGGGGAGAGGTGTTTAGTCCCTACTGGAACCAAATGCGCTGCCACCATCACTAGTCCCCTGAGGGACTAAAAGGGAAAGGAGCAACTTTTGCGCCCCTCCCTCAAAGTTGTAAAACCAACCTCTAGGATCAGGACATCCGACGGCGTGACGCACAGGCTCCGTGCAGGCATGTACAAATTACTCAGAAAAGGTAGTTAAGTTAAGTTACTGAGTTTCGACGCCAAAAGTAATTGGAGTAGAGTAGAAATTACGCATTTGTAATAGTAACTGAGTAAACTACTAACTACCGTAAAAAGTAGCGAGTTACTTTGAAGTTACTTCCGAAGTTACCTTTTTATATTTTTGTGGAAGCAAAATGAACAGCAGTTTTCATCAATGAAAAACCCTGCGAGCCTAAAATAAATGCAGTCTATTTATAGCTTGCGTTTTCGCCAAAATAGTTTATTCGCTCGCAGAAGCAATTGACTTTCAAAGTTCTTGATAGGAGAAGTTTCCCCTTTTCCTTCTAAAGACGTCCCCAGCCAAGCTAAATAGGCGTTCCACCGTGGCACTGAATGGAACGGCAGCGTTGAATTTGAGAAACAGGCTGTGCAGGGACAAGTAAGCGAGTGTCGGTATCTTAGGTGTCCATAGCGAAACATGTGAGGTTTGTCTCGGCCTAGAGGGTCTTTTATAAGAAAATCTCCTACTTTTTTCTTCGTCAAGTTGAGATTGTTATGACTGGCCCCTCTTTATTCCGACGTCGTTCTGGGAGTATACGCTGAGAGAGTGCCCCAGACCGTCAAGGGTTCAAGTCTCGCGCCACGACGATGAGATCATCCGGACGACTGCGCGTTCCGTTGTAGTGCTAGTGATACGCTACTGAAAAAAAAATGTTTTGGTTTAACAGAAGATGAACCGAAGCATACTTCGCCGCTGACGCCGGTCCAACAAAAGGATCTCCCAAGTTTAACTCGCAATCCTCGCCGGCGACATACAATATTCTGACGCGCCTGACTAGTAAATCGTTTTTAACGAAGAGGAGGTCTCCCAGGCATGGATAGTCGGAAGGACGCGAAGGATTACGTGAACAAGCATCGTCGCTCGTATACAGTTGCAGCTGGAAGCGGTAACGTGTTCCCATTAACGGATTATCCGTGCCAAGGTTTGTGCGCGGGGGAGTCCGGCTTTGCAAAGGAGTATGCGCTGACGACAAGGCGACCATGGGAACAGGCGCCCAACTGCGAGGTCATTTCAGTGGCGCCTCCCATGGAACCTACCACTTGAGTCAGTACTCACTAAAGGCAGGCAAACAACTCTCAGAGTGTCCCCGTCTTTCACGGTTGCAGCTGGAAACGCGGCGCCTGCGCGCATTACCGGATTATGTCAATACCCGACCAAGGCTTGTTAAGCAACTCTTCCTACGTTCGTGCGTGCCGGTGTTATGTTTTGGCTGCTCGTCGTCACCTTGACCCAAGGAAGCCTTCCCAAACAGGGGGGCCCCTTGTTAGGGAATGCCACTTCATCTGCCGGCGTCTTATTCATTTCTGCGCTGAAACTTTCGTGATGGGCAAAATTAGCACTATATAATTTCAAAAGTAGTTAGTAATTTGAATAGAAGTTACCTGAAAAAGTAGTTCAATTAAATTACTAATTACCCAGATCAAGTTGTAATTGAAAGTTACCAAGTTACTCGAAAAAGTAGTTAAACTACAGTAGTTTGAGTAGAGTAGTTGAACTACGTCCAAGTCTGGCTCCGTGGACGCAGTTTGGTCCCACTTCGGGACTATACTTTCGGCGCGTGTGCGGGAAATGGCGGTAAACACGCTGGTGGATTACGCGTTCCACATCGAGTCTGCCCACACCAAGGGTTGGCACTGCGCGTCCGCAGGTACCCGTTTCACGTTAAGTGAAGCGTCTTCCCATGCGCCGTCCCGACAGTAGAGCTACTATACTTCGGCGTGACGTCAAAGCCACGCAGTGGCGTGTAGATTGCTGGCACTGACGTCATATTGATTGGCCTGTGCAGTGGCCATATAGCCGAGCAGGCATACTTTTGATAGCATACATTTCGTACCACGAATTTTGTTTCTCTCGGCAACAAAAGTTAGGAACGACCGCCAGCACAGTGTGATCACGTCACGCGCGCGATGCAGGCCGCGTATAGATGCTTTGCAGCAAGTGTACATGGAAGCCGCCATAACCGACCTTCGGTTTTTGCTTCCTATTATTTGGATCACTTCGCTTTCTCACTACCATAGCAGAACAGGTTATTGCCATTTTAGGTTCGACTGTGTCCTCCTTCAGCATTGGCCTTTGTGGAGGCTCGTCAAAGCCCGCTTCAGTGGCTCGCTGTCTTGGTAAGACAAGAGAAGGTCAGCAATGGCGGCTGTAATCTGGCGCGTGTGGAAAGCGTCTAGAAGAGATCTATATATTGCCAACAACGTTTCAGTGTTACAGTCGAAACTTTCTTATTTGCGACCGAAGACTCATAAGTCTATCTGTCTGTCTGATACATCTGTTTTAAGGGTTAAAATCGTCCTAAACAAAAAAATAAATAAATAAGAAAACGTGATTTTTGGGGCACACCTACTGTGTTTCCAGTTGGCACTTAGGAGGTTATTAGGAGCGTAAAGAACGTCGTTTTTTTAGGCTACATGTTGTGGTATGTCCGGTATCATCATCATATTCAGGAGACACTCGACAGACCTCGCGATCCGCCATGCATTGCATTTAGTTGGTCTGTTTTGTGCTGTGCTTCTTTTTCGATACTATTCCGAGATCTGAGCTCGCGCGAACTGACACTCCGCAGGCGCGAACTGAGTATAAGTCACCTGGCAGACTCCCTTGCCACCGTGCATGGGGCCTGCGCAGACCATGGTGTTGTCGTGCACTTCCATGATGTGGCTGTAGTAGAGCCTGCAGACATTGTGGTCCACAACAGGAAGATCCGTCTTCTGGAGTTTTGGCGGCAGCGAGTTGCCTCCTTCGGATCCTGCACCAAGGCCTCATGGAACTCAGCGTGTGGAGTCATGTCTCGTTAATGTGAACTCCGTTAATACGCCACTTTTTTCGGGACAAACTGGGTAAATATATGTATTTTACTCTTGTTATTATAAACGACTCACATTACGGACGAATATATGAAAAAACGGAGGTGTCCATATTAATGGGAAATAATTGTACATATATATATATATAGTGTCTCAAGTTGCCAGGCTTGATCTAATATGGACCGTAAAAATCGACGCATGTCCGTAGCAATCTAAACTTTTTACCAAAGGTGTATTTCACAGGTCGGTTTTTTCATGTAAAATTACAAAGCGTAGCTCCCTTTCTGTAAATAATAGGACCAATAAACTTGCCTGGGTCAACGGCGGGCGGCGACGCAGACGACTAAGTCGAGTCGCGGGCCGCGTTTGGCGCTGTATTTACAGATGGCTCTACCTCCTTGTCGAGACTGCTCGCGACCACCGTGGTTTATTAAGATGAACATAACCTTTTTGTAATGTACTTTTGGTTAAAAAATAAATGCGGACAATAAAAACAAAACATGAAGTTAAAAAAGAAAAGAAAAACGCGGTTGCATAATGACAGCGTTCTTGCTGCCGACGGATTTCGTCCGCGTGTCGTCTGCTTTCTTTCGCTGGTCGGCTGCACTACAGTGACTTAAAGGGGGTAGTGTAGTTACCGCGTAGCCTCCACCATGCATTGGGAACGGCCGCTCCTTGGAAGATGGTGTAGGTGGCGGTTCGATCCGCAGCTCCGTTAGGGTGCCTCCATCGGCCGGCCTAACACGCCCCTTTATATCTCATATAAATACATTATAACGATTATTTGTTTCCAGTGAACTTCCAAGGACATGGTTTGTGTTCGTAGGTGAATAAAAATGTGAAACTAGCAGACAACAGTGTAGTCGACAGTTGCGAATCGGCAGCACCTGGCCGGAGCCAAGCTGGCCAAGCGGCCAAGCCGGAATCATAGCCGGAACGACGGTGCTGCAGGTGCCAGCGCCACCCGCGGCCGTCTTCCAACGCTGTCTCGCTTCTCCGGTTTCGTTCGTTACACTACCCCTTTAGGCCACTGTAGCTACACCTTCCGACGCTGCTTTCGACGCCATCTATCAATCCGTGCGCCAAACGCACCCTGCAAATCAACTTGGTCGTCTTCGCCGCCGCCCGCCATTGATCATGGCAAAATTCTTGGTCCTATTTTTTACAAAAAAAAAAAAAAAAAAGAGCTACGCTTTGTAATTTCACATAAAAAAGCGACCTTTGAAATACCCCTTTGATGCAAAGTTTAGATTGCTACTTGCAGGTGGCGATTTTTATGGTCCAGTTTAGATCGAACCTGGGGACTTGGGACACCCTATATATTAAAAACTCTAACTGCAACGCATCCTACCTTCTATAGCATTTGGGCGTCTCGAGAGCCTTCGAGCGTGAACACGCAGTCAAAGCACGACGGATATGCAACGAGCGCGTGCTGTAGGCCGAGCATTCGGAATAGAGGTTCCGAGTTTCTTGTCTTGACAGTGACCAGAGTCTCAAGCACTAGAGGGAGGATAGCTTCACGAATACTTGGCAGGCAGACTGCGTGTCTCTGCCCATGAAAATTTATTGTGCTGTATAAAATACTCCTGTGCACTGCCAATGTAGGCGGTGCTATCTGTTCCAGAACCAAAAGGACAGCCCCTTTTGCTATAATATAGCTATAAAACGCTCGACAAAGACCGTAAAATAAACAAACCGCTTTCCTATGAAAAAAAAACAAAAACGAGTCAGGCTTAGGATGACATTATTCCTTATAGTCCTTGTCGCAGCATATAATTGAGGAACAGAAGATGGAAGTAGGACGATCTGCAAGGAATGCCGTAAATGTTGTCTAAGGCAGTTCTTCTCAGTTCGTGGTTGAAACAGAGTCGCGCAAAGAACCTTGCTATACACTTTTGACGAGTTTTGAGTGGCTCTACGGTGTATTCTTTGAGAACTAAAATATCAAGGGTGGCACGACTATTGCGCATATAATTCCCTTAAAGATCTGCCCAGAGAAACGACAAAAAAGTTACAATTTTACGTCTTACGTTTCTTGATCCTAAAGTGCTAAAACAATGTTTACAAATACTATTAGACGTGATAATTGTCTCGTGTGTTCTTTTATAGAGCGAAAAGTTTGCCTGAACGGGTGTCTGAGGTCTCTGCTTTGGATGAGAAATTTAACCAGTGCAGTACTGCTCTAGCTTGGGCACTCCAGTGCGCATCACGCAGCAGTCGCACACAACCGCACGGCGGTACAACGCTCGACTAGATTTAAACAAGTAGGGGTGGCGATTGAACCCAGAGTCCCTGGGCACTGCAGTACCAGCTGCCGCTCTTCGTGCTCCACGCTGCGTTGCGTTACCAACGCAGCAGCCCTCCTTTAAAAAAAACAAAAACAAAGAAACAGTTATAAACGTTTTTAAGCAGTAATACCGCTAAAAGGTGTTTGAAAGCCCAGGGGAAAGAAACAACAACGGATAAAGTGGTTGTCGTGGAACCTCAAGAGGAAAGTTTGAGTTTCACTGACGGTCCCTTGTGAGGCCCCATCCGCTGGCGGTACACGTTTGTCCCTCGAAGTCCTCGTTCCTCCTCGGAAGGCAGATGGGCATGAGGTGCCTGTGTCTGCCGCGGAAGTCCAGCGGTGTCGCCAGTCTCAAGATCGCGTAGTCATAGTTCATTGTGTTGCTGTCCCAGTAAGGGTGCCTGGTGATCTGCACAAAAAGAAAAACAGAAAAACACCACGGAACGGTACAGAAACGCCTGAATCTCAAGTTTTTTTCAAAGCGTGGAATAATTTTGAATGGTATCCTCTATTGTCCCAGAAATTTGCCCGTCCATTCATCCGTCCGTCTGTTTTTCGCTAAATTTAGGCGGAAATTAACATCACCTGACCTAGACATCCATTTAGTTTCTCTGCGTAGACCACGTGACCTATATACCGATTCAGTTTCCTTGCTAAATTTAGAGGAGTAAATTGACGCCACGTTACTCGCACTAAGTTTGTTTCCCCCTAAATTTAGCAAAGAAATTGGTGTCACGTGATCTGACGTCATGTCACGTACACCATTTCACTCTCCCCGGTATGTTTCGCAAATAAATTGACGTCACGTTCAGTGACCACGTGATCTCTACTCCAATTCAGTGTCCCCGCTAAGCTTACGCGGGAAAATCGCCGTCACGTCACGTATACACACCGTCAGTTTTTTTCGCTACATTGAGCGAGTAATCTGAATCGGCGTGAAAGTCACGTGATGTCGATTTACCTGCTAAATATTTTGGAGAAATGAATGAGCAGTAGGTTCGTCTTCAGTTGCCGCAACGACTGTTGAATTGCAAGAAGCGAAATCATGCAGGCGAGCTAGTTAGGCAGCATAAAAATCTCAACCCTGAGACACCGAGAAAGAAAATACCGGACAGGACGACACCAAATCTCAAGCGCAACTGGGTTTATTCGTAAGAAAATAGGAAGGTATAGCCGCCCACACGGACAGGAGTGAGGGAAGAGAAAAACCTTAAATAGTGCATGTCATGCATTGGAGGAGTTTAAAAAAAAAAGGCTGCTGCCATTTGTTCTTTTCTTTACAAGACAGTTACGGTTTCTCCTAAAGTAAGCATCCGGGTGCGCGTACACAGTACGTGTTTTGAATAACAACGATGGTGATTTATTTTCTTTGGGAGGGAAGCTAAAGAACGGCCGACTCACGCTTTCAACATCGAAGCCGTCCTCTGTGGCGTCTCTCTGGAAGATGCTCTGGTCCCCGACCACGACCACATAGTTGGACGGATACGCGTAGGGACTGCAATGATATACATAAAAAAAATATTCAGAAACGCAAAACTTTTTTTCTATCTCATTTAAACTACTAGCCTGCCCATTTTGTAAAACGTGACGGTAAAAGCTGAGGACTCGTTCACACACTTGCGACAGCTTCTGACTGGGTGCTTTACGACCTCTTGTGATCCATTAACACGAGAAGACACACTGGCGCCACCTATGGGAACAGTAGTGATTTCCGTATATTTCCTAGTTTTCCGCTCCTCATTATTTTTTTATTGGCTAAGAAAAAAGCCTTTGACAACTTTATATCAACGACCACTGCTCATAGATAGTACGTAGTTTTGATCTAGCAAATACTGCAGAACCTTCTTTTGAGGAAAATACAGTTTCGGGATCACTTCATAGATGGCGCCAGCGTGCCAGGATATATTCTCTCGTCGTAAGAGATGACAAAGAAAAACTCGGTTGTAAGCAACCGCAAGTGTGTGGACCAGCCCTAAGAATCGAAGAACTTCTGAAAAAAAAAAAAGAACCACATGGGAAGCAATCCTCCGACGGGCAGACAACACTAAGAGTGAGAGAAATCTTTTATTAAAATGACGCTTGGTCCACATCATTGTTTTTGCTAAGAGATAGCGCTAAGGGCTCATTCACACTGGAAGCGGATCCGCGTTCGCAAAGCGGTTGCGAACGCGGTTGTATAAGGATTCAGTACAATTGCACGCGCACACGATGACAACAAATGCGCGTGCAATTGCACTGGATCTTTATACAACCGCTTTCGCAACCGCTTCGCGAACGCGGATCCGCTTCCAGTGTGAATGGGGGGTAAAGGAGCTGAGGCTTTCTGCGGAACCGTTGGCCGCCAGTGGAAATGAACCTTCTCCAAGGTTGCTTCTGCGCATGCGTAGTAGTAGCAGACGCGGCTGTCCGCAGTTCCTGCTGGCGGTTGGGGGATGACATCAGCAGTCAGTTGCAGTGACGAGCCGGCCGGGCAGCACAGCATTTAATTGCGACCCGTCGTAATAGCTAACTCATGGCGCGGTTACACTCTCAACGCATCATAAAAAAAAAAAAAAAACAGTAAGCAAACGCTCTCTGAGGCATGTTTCTTCCTTGTACAACGGTCTTCTCACAATGCTTACAAAAAAAGAAAAAAAAATTCTGCAGACATGTTCGAATGTGTGAAGAAAAACATACTTTGAACACGTTTCAGGCGTGTGCGCAAATAATTCTGTCAAGTCTGCAGCGAACACAGTCTCGTTTCTAGGATGTACACGAGCAGTGTGAGCTCGGCTTACATGAAACGGTTGTCACGAAACGCGGCTCTGCAGTGTGCGACATGGTTAGCCTCTGCGTCTGACTCACCCTTCGACGCAATGAGCCGCCGTCATGATGTACCGTTCGCTGATGATGGAGCCGCCGCAGGAGTGGCCCTGGTCTTCGTTGGTGAACGGCGCCCGATTCCGCAGAGATATCTGCCAGGGGAACTCTAGCGGCTGGGCTTCAACGCCACCCACGATGCGGAGAATGCCTTGAGACTTGGCGGAGACGCCGGCACGGGTCGCGGCCTCGGTACCACTGTCGTTCTGAACCGCTGCCCTCCAGCTCGGGCCACGAATGCCACACTCTGGGAGGAACGTGACAGGTTGAGCGCGCGAAGTAAACGAAGAAGCTTTTGTCTAGTTATGTAGTTCCAACTGAGATACACTTAGTGTACTGATAGTCCTTCAACCGTTTTTCCTGTGGGTTCCGCCATTTTGGTACGCAGAGCCTGTGGAACTGGCGTTCGTCACGATCCGAAAAGGATACTAAAGAGTCTGGGGTACCATTTTTGGACGTCCGATGCGGTACGATGGCCCTCCGGTACGCACTGCGCACATGGGAGACTTCTGTGGTAGCGCATGCGCAGTTCGTACCGGAGGGCTCATGATGCCGTAACGGATGTGCAAGAACGGTTCCCCAAAACTATCGACTTCTCGCGCTTTGGAGACAGTGTCAGTATACTCGGGCGATGTTGTTTTTTGCTTTGTCGCGGACTGCTAACATTAGGGACTTTTAGCAAACCGTTACCGCGTTCCGCGTACCGCACTACCGGAGCCTTTGAAGCATGCTTTTCAGCGTTCCCAGCGGTCACGGTCTCACCGGGGCGCGCAATTAAAAGCACGCTTCAAAGGTTCCGGTACGCGGAACACGGAAATGGTCTGCTAAAAGTCCCCAATGATTGTAAGCTCCGAGACGGCCCAAGTGTCGTCACGCAGAGGCGTAGATTTATTTAGTGGTCCTTTGGTATATAGCTCTTAGGAGCGAAGTGTGCTCATCTGTTCGCAAGTCGATGGTGTTCTTTTAAATTTTTATGTCGGTTGTTTTAATAAAGCGAAAGGCTTACTTGTCTTATTACGCGAAAATGCGGCGGCGTTGTGCCCGAAAGATGGTCACACCAATACGTCATCGAGCACGCGGCTCAGAAAAAAACAAAAGAAAAAACACAAAGAAAAGCACTGCAACGGAGATGCTTCGTCACAGAAGCCGGCGGGGTGCTCAAGGTAAAAGTGGACGCGCCTCAGAAATAAAACATAAAGAAAAGCACAGCCCCACAGATGCTTCGTCACGGAAGCCGTGGAGCCGGCGGGGGCGCCGCGCCTGCGCAGTGGGGGAGCGTGATTTCACCGCCGGGGCGCCGTGTGAAAAAAGAAGACGTGGCGCGTTGCTTGCAAGAATGCGCTGCGCGTAGGAGTACTTTTGCATTCCTACACGTAAGCAGTCTTAAGCGTCCTCGGTGTGTTTTTTCATGCTTTTGCCACCTGCAGTCACTGACAGCTAAACTCACGAAACAAGACGCGAGAACATTAGTGTTTCCGCCGTCATTCTTAAAATAGGCGGCTTGTTCCCCCTTTCTTCATTTCACGCGTTTCTTGCTCGACGGCTCCGAATGCTGCGTTTTGGCCTGTCCTTTTTGTGATTTTTTTTTCCGTAACCTAGGTAATTTAACTAACGCGTTAGTTTTGTCAGCTAAAATACCGCTTACGTTAAATCTTTTTTTTTTTTTTTAAGTGCGGTTCATTACGTGGGCTATAAGGCGGCATGATAAGTAGAAACTTGGAAATTTCATCACTTCATGAAATCCTACTCACCCCTAAGTGAAACAGTATGTCTTGGCAATAGACCCTTTCCAAAAGTCGATGAAACAAAATTGGCAGTCGCCATTGCTTGGACGCGTATAGCGCGTGATCGGATCCGAGTCCTCGACGAACGCTGACGTCAGCGCTCGTGTCCAGTACGTGATCAGAGTAGGTGGTCAAGCAATGGCGGACAGGCGTTGGCGCGCAGTCTTTTGAAAATGGTTTATTAATGCTCATATATGATTGGCGTCACTTTCTATTTTAAAGAGCAACGCGAGTCAAGTGGACATATAGAGGAAACGCCCAACACCAATTGAAGCCATTACGACGTTGTTTATTACGTGCAGGCTCCTCGCGTCGTGATTTGTACTATGTCGTCTTTATCGACACAGGCTCCTTCCTTCGTGATTTGAATTTCGTCGTCTTTATCGACACATAACGCAATCCCATTGGCTGTGGATCGATAAATAATTTGATGGGGACTCGGCACGCCGTGCATTATTCTTTTTAAGCTAAAAAAACTTGTAAGTGAAAAGAGAGGCGAACGCGAAGAAGTACTCGTCCACGTCCCCTTCTTCGCGTTCGTCTCTGTTTGCGGCTACACGTTTCCTGAGTATTATGTGCCAACTTGCCCAGCATCGAGTCTCGTTAAAAATACGTTTTTTTAAAGCCGTTAGTGAGCGTAATTAATGGAATGCGATCGAACATTCGCACGGACACATGAGTTACTTACGCTGCTGAGCAAACGTCGTGCTGGTTGCAAGAACCACCAGAAAGAACCAAGTTGTTGGCACAGGCATGATTTCGATTTGAACTGTAGTGATGGTGGTGAAACGTGGGAACCTGGAGCGGGGATGATCCGCTCCTGCTGGCTTCCGTCGACTAAAGTAACGCTGCCATTGCACTACGCTTCTCGTTTATATGGGCGGCTGCTGGCCTGTCTCCGAACGCAATTTTTCTTTCGGAGGAGTATCTCTTTCTGTACTACTCATGCGGGCCGTTACAGGTTAAACGATGAGGGTCGCAACAAAGAAGAATGATCCTTTAGAGTGGGAAATATACTGTGGTTTCCTAGAAACCACTAATGGCTTCGCAGAAATAACATAACTCATGGAACTTACCCGAAGTATAATGAAGAAGAAAAGGCAACGTCACCGGGTTTAATTTCACCTCTGCCGACGTTGATGCGAATGAATGGCGGAGAGCATGCCCATTCACGTAATACTACTCCGGGCGAGGCAAATTGACAGTCGTACCAAGCTGGCCGCATTTTCCTTCTTCGATGGAGGCACGAGTCGCCGTACTTACACTTCTAACCGTATCAACATCGGCACAGCGGTACTTGGCAAGTCGATCACGGACATCTGGTCAGGTTTTTACCGCTTTCGCCGACCCGCAAGTTCGCTGCTTTCAGGTAGCACCCGCTCTTCCAACAGTAAGCGACAGCTTAAGAAACAAAAGGCGTGGCTTATGATCTTCATACTTCTTAGTGCACGGCGATTCATTTTTGAATGTTTATTCGGTAACGCCGCAATTCGATCATCGCAGGAGCGACAAGAGGGTTATCGGGACTCGCTATGCCACGCGGTTCTTAAGGCGTCGATGACTAATAAATTGCACGTGAAAAAAACCAGCACAGGCCCTTCCCACAAAGCCCCCCGCTTGCCATGATTAGTGGTCGACTCTGTCCACTCGCCTTCTTTTTGGCTTTTGTTGTGCTAAAATTGGAAATGGTGAAGGGCATTGTGGAAAGAGCCTGCCCCGGTTTTTTTTTTTTTTTTTTACCTGCAGGTGGTCGCACGACAAGATTAAAAGGGTCATGAAATGATGTCGCGTTGGAATGCTCATGACTCTACAAGGGTGTACTGGCCCTAGTCTTTCCCAAGTATATACCCGCACGGACCGCCACCGATTCAGAAGCTTTTTGGTCGCGGTGAAATTGCGTGGATAAAAGGGGACAGTTTCTTACGGTCTTGCCTTCGCAAAGCTCGATGACGTAATTGTGGGATCAAAACCACTCGCCTGATGGCAGAAGAGGGCGGCTCATGGATTGGACACGAGAACTGCGTAAGCACTCGACTTAGGCTCGTAACAATCAATGCCTCGGCGGATTCTCAGGTAGTGGCTGCTGTCTAACCATAAAAGTTGGCACAGCGACCTTTATTCTTTTAAAGTCACATAATGCACGAAATGCGTTATTAAAGGAGCAATCGTTTAAATTTGTTTAGAAGACTTTGAACAGTCGGTTCGGGATGTAAAGAAAAACCTATCTCTTTTTTCAATTCAGCGGGGAAACTGGATTGGTGTTAGGTCACGCGGCGTCAGGTCAGGAAATATAAATTTGCCCGGTGAACTTAAAAAAAAAAAAGGAACGAATTTGCGTATAGAACACGTGGTGTAAGGTTACGTGATATAAATTTTCCCGCTAAGCTTAACGGGGAAACTAAATTGTTGCACAGGGCTCGTGACAGGTCACGTGATATCAATTTTACCTCTAAATTCAGCGGGAAATGCGCGAACGAACAAAAACAAGTTTGGGTTTTTTTTGTTTTTTTGGGGGGAGGGGGGGTGGGGAGGAGGGAAGGGGGAGTCTTCCGTTGAAAAGCATGTTATGCACCCCCCCCCCCCCCCCCCCCCCCCCTAAATAGTTCTTGTTTCTTTCTAACGACAAGCAGGTCTGAGGTGTGCAACACCTTGCGGAGCTTCGGACTGCACCGCGTTTATTGCGCGCATCGTGCCGGCGTGCCTAGAGGCGTTCCTCTCTACTCTTCCCCGGCCCCGGTGACCATTCGGATCCAGTCCAGTTGGGTGGCGATCTTCGAGAAGACTCCCGGCTGCTTGGGCGCCGCGCACGTCGTGCCCCAGGACGTCGCTCCGGCGAGGACGTAGTGGCCGTCTTCTCTAGCGCACTGCAGCGGTCCTCCCGAGTCTCCCTGGGAGCGGGAAACATCGCGAGCAGATAAAGGCAAATTCACACCTTTGCATTTGAGTGCGATCGAGAAAGAAAGAAAGAGACGAATAAAGAAAGAGGAAGAGAGTGAGTGAAGAGGTTGCGACAGAGAAAATACTAATGCGGCGGTCGTAGCCAGAGACCGAGTGCGTCGTGAGCGTTTCTGTGCACCCGCTGGCGGCAAAAAGACAGACTGCCATCGCGGTAAACGTACAGTCGCTGGCAGTTCACGAAAGGCGTGACTAGTCGTCTTCAGCATCTATATTACCAGCCCGCGAACAATCAGATTGCGACATTAGCCGATAAGAACACCGAAGAACCAATCACAAAGCGAGAACCTCGGAAAAAATAATAAGGCACGCCCTGCTCAGACTAAAGGGCTTTCCTGGACTGAAGCTTTTTCCCGATTTGCGCAATAAAGTCTAAGCACTGTCTATGGGAAATGTTCGCTTATAACACTGTCTAGATTATTTCAACCACGCGATGAAAGACTGATGCGTAAGTATGTCCGCGGATCGCGAGTGTTCCAGTACTATCCGATAGATGGAGCAAGCGTGTTCTTTTGACGCATGCGGTCGTAAGTTGTCACAACGCATTCGATCACGCTCAAACGGAAACGCAGATCAACGGAACGCCATCTAAGGGAGAAAGTGTAGACGGGCAGTTGCGATGCGTCGAGAGAGGACGGCGATGATTCGACAGGTATACGAAGAAAATGTTTTACCTTTATTGCTTTATCTGTATTACATTTAAGGATGATATAATTAAAGATTCTATCTTATTATATTAGAGAGTTTTAAGGCCTGTTCACACATGCAGCGGAGCGCTACAAGCATAGCGCTGCTGACCTCGCGCTAAGCACGTGCCGACAGGAGCGTTCACCAGCTTTGTATCGCACCGTCAAAACTGTTGCTCATGTCAGACGATAAGTAGCTGACGGCACGTGAGCAGCGCTACATCAGCGCTTCGCTGCATGTGAGAACCGGCCTTTAAAGAACCGTTTTTGCCCATCCGATACGGGACGATGGGCCCTCCGGGACGGACTGCGCGTATGGGAGTCTTCTGTGCTAGCGCATGCGCAGTTCGTACCGGAGGCCCCACCGTACCCTATCGGATGTGAAAAAAAAAACGGTTCCCTAAAACTCCCTATTACGTAAGTCTGACCGCAGTGGAAGACGATCAGAGGCAGAGGCTTTTGCAAAACTCGCCTCTTTAACGCTGCCATCTTTGTCTGCTGTGCTGTGGAACGACGTCGGAGCAAGCGCTGTTGCTCCGCTGTGCGGTATATCCGACGCTGCGCATGCGTCCACAGCTCAGTGACTCTGCATTTTTCGCCGGCGTGATGAGCCATGGTAAGGTCAATAGCCAATCAAGCATCGCCAAAATTGCTTCGTCACGGCGCTCGCTGTCTTTTCTGGGTCCGCTATTACCGGTTCAACTCATCACGCATAAAATATGCAGATTCACGGCGCAGTCACTATGCGTGATTGGTTGGGTAGGTCATAGCAAATGCGCAAAGGGCGATATGAGAGATGTGACGATGCACTTCTAGGGCTGCTTCATTATACTTCGTTTCAGCTTCGCTTCGAGCGCGGCCGATGTTATGAGCCGAAGGGCCAATCAAACAGCGCAAAAAACGCAGCGTCATGCCGTGCTCCCTGCGCTTGATAGGACTAGCCGGTGGAGGAGCGCGCACAGAAAGACGACGAATACCGGTTGGCCCTATCAACTGCAGAGAGCACGCCATGACGTAGGGCCTCTTTCGCTGTTTGATTGGCCCTTCGGCTCATAACGTCGGCCGCGCTCGGACAGAAGCTGAAACGAAGTACAGCTTGGTCGCAGTGTGGCGACGGCTGTTGTCGAACTTGGAGTGAAACGGATATTAGTGCGTATTCATTGCTACCGGTTATCATAAAGCACAATATACTTGTCTTCACAAAACTAAAACTTGTCTGCAACTTAGAAAAAGAAAAAGAAAAACCGAAACACAGAGAAATTGACACGAACAATTCTTACATAACACACAGATTTACCGCCCTCTTCGAGGCCGGCGCAGATCATGGTGTCCTCGTGGACCTCGTTAACGTCCTTGTAGTACTCCTTGCAGACGTTGTAAGGCACAATGGGCAGGTCCACTTTTTGAAGCTGGGCGGGCATTTGGGCGCCTCCCTCGCTTGCTGCGGGAAGGGGTTAAAAATGCCGGATTGCTTTTTTGCCAAATCACGCAAAGGGTTAGACTACTCGAGTTTCGAAAATTTATAATGATCACTTTCTGCAGCACCCACACTATGATGAGAGCAGTCGTCTGCGTCTAGCACAGGATTTGCGGTGACGTCATAACGACGCCGAGTTCTGATTGGGTTTGATTGGCAGGCGGGTAGTCCTTACTGTTAGACGCATTGAGGTCTGCACACTATTTCTTTTAATAAGCCAATAATAGATCGGTGCTCTGACCGGGGTTAAATCCAGGAAACCCTCCAAAAAGAAACCTCATGATTAAAAAATAAAAAAAAGGGGGGAGGGGAGGAGGGCAGAGAGGGAACACTTGCTGCACACCTCATTGCGTGTTGAATCTTTGTTTAAACGCTCGTATACTAAATAGTAGAGCGAGGCCTTTCCTCCTCAGCGACATAAAGTTTCGCAATTCAAGACATTATTGCGATATCTTCTGCTTCGAAGTGGGGGATAACGAAATCTTGAATTAACTCTGTGCCCACTTCGCACGGCCTAAAATTATGGTTTAGTGTTTTCGGTAAATACCGATAAACCACAAAAGTTAACCAACCCCCAAGGCGGTTATATCAAAGTCGGTCCTTGAAAAAGAAAAACCCAACCTTTGAGGAATGAAAATATTAACAGTTTTATTTTGGCACAAAACATGTACCACCTCCAATGAACTGTCCGCGAGTCTGGTTTTTGCTCTGGATCCCCACATCTCGTTTCTTTTCCTTGTCGGTATACGGGGATGTCTTTCGATTATTTGGGGCACGCGAATGTAATGCGGAGGTTGGTAAATAACATGTCCCATTTTCTTCAACATAAGCTCCGAGAAACCCCGTTTTTTCGGTCACGCAGAAAAAGTTGTCACCAAAGAACAACGGATCTGCGGGAAAAGGTAAACCTCGAAAAATCACCCACGAAGTTTTAAAAAAATAAACCCCGAAAACATGAAACCCTAACAAACCTTTTAACTAGGCAGCACCAACGCGCGGGGACGCGCTCGAAGTAGTGAAAGCCCTAGCTATAGCAAGACGGCGCTTTGGAGAATGAGCAGGTTGACTTGGGAAAAAAATCGGAGTTCATCAGGACATATGTTTAAAAAAAAAGGGAATAGGATTCCCTTACCTCCAATGGAACATGCGCGTGAATCCCGTACCGATAACAGAAAGAAAGGCGATAAGGAGTCCGAAAAAAGAAGCAGCCTCGCGGACAGTTCAGTGTGGGTGGTGTTACCGTTCACATCAAAATAAAGCTGTAATAGTACAGGTTTTTTTCCCGTGAATCTTTGGTTTCAGACGTTTAAGGGAATTCTCTCCAATTTGTTTTTGTTCTCGTTTTTTTTTATTTTGATAAACCCAGTTTAGAAATATATTTTCGGATTTTTCAGTATTTACCAAAAAGACGGAACCCTACTCATGTGCAACTGAATCATAACCGGCGTCGAGTTCAATTAAGAGAATAATGACCAGCAAATCAGGACTCAAACGAACTGCGTCTATGTTTGTTGTTTTTGCTTCCTGCAGTCTCAGTGTCGTGTTATGTCTTGTGGAAGAAGCTGCTGTGCTAGCTCGTGCACTATGCCCCATTTCACCTTACGTCCGGCCGCAGCGAGCATGCCATCCCAGCCAATCCAGTTGTGTGAACGTAGCTCGAAACTAGGACTTTCGCGCGTCACGGCGCTACCTAACGAAGGTCACGGGAAACTCACACGACCCTGGATGGGCTCCGATAGCTCGTAGCCTACGATGCGGCCGAACGTAAGGTGTCTTTGTGTGATGCTTTTTGGTGCACGTGGGTGCCTAATCTTCACCTGTCATGTCGCTGGAAACCAGACAATCTACATATGGTTCGCAGGAAGGCAAAGATAATCAAAAGCATGTAACCACACTACTAACTTTGTCACTCAAATATTTTTCTGCTTAGCGTGGAGGCCTTTATGAAGTATTTTGGTGGCACGTGTTTTCCAAACATCATTGTGCAGGTCATGATGGCTATTTACAAATCTTTGAAAATAAGTATTGATAATATTACGATGCTTCAACTTGTACGTAGTAATGTCAATTTGTATGCTGCCATCGGTACCTGTCTGCGTTGTCAAATTTGAAGGAATACCGCAATAAATTTTGAAACTTAACTATGCTTGAAACATATGTGGCAGGGGCGTCCGAGAGACAATAGGGAGTTTTAGTGAGCCGTTTCGAGGCGAACGGTTCACCCACACACGACTCGCCGACGCCACTGCGCATGCGCATGCGAGTCGTTCTGAAGCTGGCAAATGTTTTGGTCGAATCGTTACGACTCGTGGCGCTGGAACCGTTCGCGCGAATGGGAACTATTCAGCACGACTCAGAGCTTTCCAAAATGGCGGACCGGTGAAGGCGAGCTGGACGCGGCACCCCCCCCCCCCCCCCAAAAAAAAAAAAAAAAAAAAAAAGCTCCGATCCACCGGGGAAGCAGACATTTGGCTGCTGCGGGAAGTGGTTCACGTGAATCTTTATCAGGACAGCCCGAGGTGGACGGTGATAACTGATGCCAAGATGCTAAACCAGCATAAACTAGACCCCACATGGAGGACGCAGCCAACGGGGGCTAACGAGGCGCAAGAATACGGTTAACAGTGAGATGCGCCGATGAATCAGCGAAAGTGGGTGCCCGCACAACTCTTCAGTGGACCCGGTGAATCCGGATCCTTGCCGCTTGACTAGAATGAACTCGAAATGGTTATTGCAAGCAGGGTTGCCAGGTGTTTGAACTCCAACCCGCCAAACGTCTACAAGATATAGCCCGAAATAGCCAAATGTCGATCCAGAAAAATAGCCCAAAAATAGCCCCCCAAAAAAACTTATATTTTGAAACGTTTATTTTAAGCAGAAAAGACACATAATACATTTTTATCCATCAAATGCCCCAGAAATGGCGTCCCTTGTACGTTCGGCGAACTTCCTGAAACGCTCGTACAAGCGCATGACAACATACCTTCCACTGTATTGGGACGCTTAGTATCGGGGCATGGTGACCAGAATGACGTCACGGGAGAACTATGCAGAATTGAGCACAAAGTATAGGTGCATGCTTGCATCCAGACGAAATTCGGAGTTAAACAGCTGCACAAGGCGCGCAAAAAGAGGACGAATTTGTTTGCTGTCGCAAACTTATCAGGGTTAAGGGACTGAAGCGCCAAATGTTCACGTAACTTACTCTAAAAAAATACATTCTAACCTACAAACCCAAGTGCTTTCTGGCATTTTGGTTCCAGCACAGGTCAGAAATTGCCCCATGCACAGGTCAGAAATAGCCCAATACCAGCCAAATAGCCAACTACCATTTTTTCCCGCCAACTGCAAATAAAACTAGCCCAATTTGGCTATTTATAGCCCAATCTGGCAACCCTAATTACAAGTGCCCCTTCGGCCGTTCAATTGTACTTTTAAAAGTGGTGGGGAGCTGCATCGGGTTTGGTGAACGACGCAGTTTCTCCGCATAGGGGTTTTAACATTCCTGACAGAATGTGCCTTTTTGTGTGGTGCAGATATAAAATAAAAGCCGTACGGAATGTCTTCGCACTATGCGGTACGTACACTTTAGGAACCTTTTATACTTAACAGTTGTAGAAATGTCAATGCGGGGCGAGGTGCCGGCAATTTGCGATGTGTATTCGCGCCTTCAATAAAGTGCTCTCACACCCTCACTCGACAGCTTCAAGCTTTATCGCAGCGCGACCAGCGATTTTGATGCAAGAGGATGAATTAGCACGAGACCCTAACTTGACAGCTTTAAATTTAGAATGCTTTGTGCCGTTTGCCTTTCTGGCGGCGCGGATAGCTTTCAGCGTTTTGCGTGACTCTTTTTAAAATGTTTCTACCTAATTCCTGACTGCCGAGACCAGGAACGCTAACGCTACGATCCTTTCTCTGGCGTGCCGATAAGGATATGGGCCGTCTCTTTTTGCATCGATGCCGTTTTATTTCCACCGTTACACCGTAATCAGCGTAAAAAAAGGCGGTCTTCCTGGCCAGGGTTAAGTTGAGTATTGGAGGCAGTTGTCCTTTAGGCGGTATCGGCATTTTATTGCGCAAGTAGGGTAAACAATCCAGCGCTACGAGACGAGCATGTCTCGATCAGCGCTGTCATCGTTTGTTTTTGTTGTTGAAACGACGGCGACACCTAATGGCGAGGCGGAGTCGGGCCACTGATTCTGTAAAAAGCTTGAAAATTACATTAAAAAACAGTATTCCTTTACATTAGGAGATGGTTCTGTGGGACAAACAAGCAGTTATCATCATCATTGATTTTGACGTGTCGTTTCGTATCGTGCGTCTTCGTTCTACGGCTCACTAAAAACCTTCGTCTGGTGTTTACCACTCGTCGAAACCGTTGAACCGAACCGTTCGTGATTTCGAACCGTTCGTGATTTCGCAACCGTTCATGCCAGAAACGACTCGCTAAAACTCCCGAATACTAACCAAGTTGCACCGTTGTACCCTCGTACCCTGGTTGCAGTGAAAACAACAACAACAACGACAAAGTTGTTAATGTCGCCGCCCAAAATAAAGCGAAGAATGTTGCCCATCGTTTTTTTCCGGACACAGTTGTCTGCTGAGGGAACTTTGACATTACATCTTGGTTTTAAAACGGTAGCTTTATAGGGACAACGAACTTCAGGCACGAAATGTGTAGGTTGGTCAATCCGTAACCGGCTAAACAATCTTAAAAAAAAACAAAAAAATGAAAGCCGTTTACAATTCCCTGTAACGCCGGTTAGAGCGCAGCTCTTGAGGAGGAAGATGGAAGCGTACTGAGGGATAGGTGACTCCTTGAGGTCACGTGACCTCAAGGGGGTCACGTGACTTCAGGGGGTCACGTGACCTCATGGGGTCACGTGACCTCAAGGCGGTCACGTGACTTCTGGGGGTCACGTGACCTCAAGGGGTCAGGTGACCTCAGGGGGTCACGTGACCTAAGGGGGTCACGTGACTTCTGGGGGTCACGTGACCCACCCAGGTCATGTGACACCCCTAGGTCACGTGACCCCCTTAGGTCACCTGACCCCTTGAGGTCACGTGACCCCCAGAAGTCACGCGACCGCCTTGAGGTCACATGACCCCTAAGGTCACGTGACCTCATGGGGTCATGTGACCTCAGGGGCTCACGTGACCTCGGGGGTCACGTGACCTGAAGGGTCACATGACATTAGGGGGTCACGTGATCCCCAGAAGTCACGTGACTTCAAGGGGTCACGTGACCTTAGGGGGTCACGTGACCTCAAGGCGGTCACGTGACTTCTGGGGGTCACGTGACCTCAAGGGGTCAGGTGACCTCAGGGGGTCACGTGACCTAAGGGGGTCACGTGACCTCAAGGGGGTCACGTGACTTCAGGGGGTCACGTGACTTCTGGGGGTCACGTGACCTAAGGGGTCAGGTGACCTCAAGGGGTCACGTGACCTAAGGGGGTCACGTGACATCAAGGGGGTCACGTGACTTCAGGGGGTCACGTGACTTCTGGGTGTCACGTGACCTAGGGGTGTCACGTGACCTAGGGGTGTCACGTGACCTGGGTGGGTCACGTGACCTCGGGGGGTCACGTGACCTCGCGGTTACGCCGACGGCGACGCCGACGGCGACGGCGACGCCAACGGCGACGGCGACGCCAACGGCGACGCCGACGGCGACGCCGACGCCGCTCAAGCCGGAAACGGGCCCCTAAGAGCTGCGCTCTAAAAAAACAACAACGATAGTTTGATTTTGGTCACTGGCGTGGAAGTCGAGTGCGCTGCTAACTGAGCTACGGGCCCAGCACACAGGAACCGGAGGAGCGGAAACAGGTGGTGTCAGAAAGCGAGCGGAGCGGAGAGGGGTGGAAAAGACAAGGAAGAGAGGAGCAGGACTAGGTGGTGCAGAAAGAGTTCGCGGAAGGAGGAGTAGAAAGGGCAGGAAAGCGCGTTTCGCTTTTCTTGGTAACCCAGAAAATTCAGCGCAATTTTTTTTTTATCTGGGTGATACCGGGGGAAGCGCAAGCTGCGTCACAAGAGATAATGCTGTGACTTAATCTGTTTCCATATAAAACCCTGCCACAGGCACAACCAGGGGTTTCCCCATGATTTGAAATCAGGGGGGGGGGGGGGTTTCTAAAGTTTTAGGGGGGGGGGGTGGGTTAGGCCGTTAGGGGAGGCACTGAGAATACAGGAGTCATTGCGAATTAAGGGGTTTCCTTCAGAAAAACAGGGGAGGGAGTGTACACCCTCCCTAATGGGTGTGTAGGGAAATCACTGGGCACAACCCGAACTAGAAGCTTCACCCGCCCAATAAAGCTACCTCATTTAAACGCGTTTAGCAGAATAACCAAAATGCAGCCAAATTTTATTTTGATTAGTCTTTCGGTGCCTTTAGGAGCTAAAGGGTATATTATTTATGAATGTTGAAGAGTACCACTGTCTTCTGTTCTTCAGCACCGTCCACTGGTGGCGCTGGAATCTGCTGGTGATAATGTTTATTCACCAGATAAGGGTTTAGTCTGCATCTAGTCAGGGATGGTCTCATGAAGTAATTTTATAAAGTTCGCGCGAAGCTTAAGGCTTGAACTTGTTTTGAATTCACTCACGGTCTTTGGTGAGTCCCCATCCCGAAGCTGTGCACGTCTCTCCGTCAAAGCTCTGGTCCTTCTCCGGGAGACAGATGGGCATCAGGTGCTTGTGTTTGCCGGCGAAGTCCAGCTTTCTCGCCAACTTCACGATGGCGTAGTCGTAGTTTTTGGTCGCGAGGTTCCATTTAGGGTGTTGCCGGAGCTGTAAGCAAGAAGAAAATAACACAAAAAGACTCGTCACTACACATGGCTTCCACATGACCTCATGGCGACGTGCCAATGGTGATTCCTAATTACCTTGCCGAGAGAAACAAATTTGGGGGTGCAAAATACATGGTGTCTACCTGGGGGCAGAGGAAAAACATAAATCTCAACACACATCTACGTGACTGGTGCGCGACCGAAACAATCCGCCTGGTCCTGCTATCGAATCAGGGACCTCTCAATTTTGAGTGGAGCGCTCTACTAACTGAGATAACCAGGAGTTAGACGTCAGTAGAGCAAACGTTTTTTTCCCGCTACCACCAGTCTAACACAAGCAAGTGTGAACGGCCTGCATTTTAAGCTTATGGTTACGATGCAATGAATGCAAAGGTGCAAACGAGCTGGACAAGAATGACGAAAATAATCACTAGAGAACGAGAAAAAAGGGGACAAAGGGCACACACAAATCTCCAAACACAGCTAGCTGACTGGTGCGCGACCGAAAAAAATCTGCAAGGACGCGCCTCTTAGTAAACGGTCGGAAACCACGTCGATCCCTCTATTTTCATCGGTTAGAGACACTCTTTGGTTTGTAATCAGAGCCTCTCTGTAGGGCAATTCATAGTGACGTTAATCTACGAGGGGCCGGCCTGGCTGTGTCGCACGTCAGGCTTCTAGCTTATGCAGATGATGTAAGCGTACTGGTGTACATCGCGGCCAGAACTACGACCTGCACTCGGGCACATAGAAGAGTTCTATAGTGTGTAGGGGGGCGAAATGAATACTAAAAAATCATCAGGGTCTTGGCTGTGGCCTTGGATGTCCGCGCCCGACTTATGCGTGGGAGTTCCATGGACTGTTTCGTCGTCAAATTACTTAGGTGTCAGCCTAGACCGAACAAAGTTGGGCAGAGGCGAAGGTGGCACAAGGCTAAATGCCTTTAGAGCCAAAGCTACGAAATGGTAAGGAAGAAATATCTCTCTCTTTCTCTCTCTCTCTCTCTCTCTTAACTCGGAGTTATCTTTGTAATGCTGTTTTCTTTTCCTGTGCATGGTACTCGGCACCTGTCGTGCCTTGTCAGAACAGTGAAGTGCAAAAACTGCAAAGAGTATATGCGATTTTTGTGTGGAATTCCCGTTTTGAAAGAACGCGCCGTACTAATCTTTTCATCAGCTCCCACAAAGGCGGGCTGGGGCTAGTTAATTTAGATATTAAGTTGAAAGTGCATCGGCTTTTGCTTTTTAGAGACAAGGAAGCCCCGATATCCGCCGCAGTACTGCAGACGTTAGGAGGGCTTTATCTCTCCTCGTGGCTGGACGCCAACGTTGATGACGTTGCAGTAAAGAAGGCACCCGTTCTGCGATTTTATAAAGAAATGGCGGAAGCGGTGAAGTATTCTGAAAATAAATCTTCAAAGGAATAAACATAAGTAAAGTGAAAAGGAAACGTTTGTACTGGGACGCGATTGACTTAGTGATGCCGCTGCCCCTTTACAGATCTGACTTTACTGCAGAGGCGGACGGATCTGATATCTTCTAGCGTTTGAGGAGGTACTCTGTCCGGCAGGAAATGTATAATCTTTTTGTCAGGTTTCATATTGAAGTGTTACCAGTGAAAATGTGGGAGGAAAACAAGAGTTTCTCGGCAAAGAGTCAAATGACACAGCTTGTTCTCCATGGGAGGAAAAAAACCTTGTTTTCCTCCCATGGAGAACAAGCTGTGTCATTTGACTCTTTGCCGAGACGCTGCAGCACACCTTCTTGTATTGTACAAATGCCAAATTATTCTAGACCCAGCTGCGGGTGGAAGCCAGAATTTGTTTATATCCAACATGGCACGGCGCGAAGTTTCTTCATGTCGGGAAGCAACGGCATAGCCTCAGCCTGGAAATATTAGCCTTAATTAGATTACACGCAATTTGGAGTTCTCGCACTGATCACACGCTGGTAAGACAAGCTGGTCAACCCACGTGGAGGTATTTGATTGAAGGAATTAACTATGTCACCTTCTTAGTTCAGGACACGGATGGGCAAAATACATGCAAATATGTATCGAAATACAAATACAAAATACTTCGTCAAAGATGTATTTAATTCCAAATCTAATTACATTTCTAAAAAAGCATTTAAGTACAAGATACAAATACAACCAAATGTATTTGGTGTCCTCCAAATACTTTTCCAAATACATTCCTCAAAATTTGCGTGACTTCAGGGCACCTGCAACGGGTTTCTGAGTATCTCATTTTAATTTTGCATCGCACACTGGGAAGTTAGTGTGCGAGGCTCTAGTAACGTAATAGAAATATAATCACAAAAAAATGTAATTAGCTAGGACTTAATAGGTGAAAAAAGTACAGAGCTTCAAGCAGCTTTTTTTTTGTGGACTACATTTTGGTATAGAGCAACAAAGAACCGAGACGACCAAGACGCACAGCACTAGCTAGAGAATTTTTTATTGTTGCAACTCGCATCACTTCCGAAAATCTGCACTTAGAATGTTCCAGGCAAAAATATGGATGGAAATCAGGCAGGAAAGCATCACAAGTTGTCACAGACACTGAATAGCCAGTCTGCCCGTGAACGTCGATTTCGTCACTACTCTCGCCCTGGACTAGCACCGTAATCACAAAGTCACTAAACGCTAGTGCTTGATTGAGAGACACTGCATTTGGCGCAGAACGTAGTTTTCTTCCTGCTCTGAACAGTGCCTTTAAAATAAAGCAGGAGGAGAAAAGGAAAAAAGCCCCATGGTGGAATAAAGGATGGAGACTATATCTTACAACCACATGCATAAAAACAAGATGTAGTTTCGCCCACAAAATTGTATTTAATTACAATTGTATTTGAAATACCCACGTTTTAGTATTTAAATACACACGTCAAATACATTACCTAATTTTTAATTAAATACAAATTCAAAATACACAAAGTATTTGAAATACGTATTTCAAATACTTGTATTTGAAATACTGCCCATCCCTGGTTCAGGAGATACAGTTCTTTGAGAGCGACTCTTAGGAAACTCTTAAGTCCCGATTGAAAATAACGAGATGACCAATTAACAAATCAGTGGATGCAGGTTTTGTGTTACTATTGTCTGTTGTTCTTATTCTTTGGCCCACTGTTGAAGTGTACGGTCGATGCAACTGTATGTCGATCACTGTGAATGCATTCTGAATTGTTAGACCTCATGGGTCAGTCGCGAGCCGTCGACTCACTTAGTTCCTTTTACTATGTAAATAAATCGGCCTTATCTAATAAATAATAATAAAAAAGGCGTCGGAGAAGCGTGCTTGACTCGTACCCTGGACGCCCGGGTTTGATTCCCACCCAGGCTGAAATGTACAAAATTTTCCTTTCAAAACCATTAATTTGCTTTGTTTACCGAAACCTCTCTGAGATATTTGACATCAATTCCAGTGTTGCCACTGCTCTCGAGAAAATTGTAGTAGCTTTCAGCTTGAAAAATGAGCAGATTTCTAAATTCGGTAGTTTGTTGTTTTATTAGCTTCTTTGTGTTGTACGGTTATTGCATTGATCATTTTCACAGTACACGTGAAAAATACCACAAAAACAAAAGGGAGCAATGAAAAAAAGGCAAAAACTGTATACAAAGCAAATTTCCCAAGACCTCTTCCTGCAATATCCGGAAGTCAGCTGCCGCGCGACTATTACAGAATTACCGGAAGTTGCTCAGTCTTTATCACTTAGTCGTCTCACACTTCTACAGGTTTTCCCGCTCATTTTAATCCAAGCGACGACCAATTTAATCCTGGGGTCACTCAATTTAATCCAAGCGCCATACAATTTAATCCAAGCGCCACACAATTTAATCCCGGGGTCAGTCAATTTAATCCACAATATATATATATGGACTTATTGTGTTCAGTGGTCGTGTTTTGCTTACACATTCGGTAACTTAGAATAATTATTTATACAATTTGAATTTTTGGGGGGAAATGGAGAATTTGATCACTAATGTGATTACTTTGAGTTACTAGTCCCACTATTGACGAGGCTTAATTGATATGTTGGTTACTCTTTTTACAGCGCAGCTCTTAGGCACCCGTTTCCGGCTTAAGCGGCGTCGGCGTAACCACGCGGTGCATGATGGGCGAATTCCCCCGCTAAATTTAGCGGAAATTTTCTCCGCTAAATCTAGCGGAAAATTTTCCCTGCTAAATCTAGCGGAACATTTTCCCAGCTAAATTTAGCGGAAAATCTTCCCCGCTAAATCTAGCAGAAAATTCTTCCCGCTATATTTAGCGGAAAAATTTCCCCGCTAAATCTAGCGGAAAATTTTCCCAGCTCGACTTATTGGAAAATTTGCCCCGCAAAGTCGAGCGGAAAAGCTTCCCCGCTAAATCTAGCGGAAAAGTTTTCCCGCTAAATCTAGCGGAAAATTTTTACTGCTAAATCTAGCGGAACATTTTCCCCGCTAAATTTAGCGGAAAATTTTCCCCGCTCTATCTAGCGGAAAACATTCCCCGCTATATTTAGTGGAATATTTCCCCCGCTAAAAAAAGCGGAAAATTTTCCCAGCTAGATGTATCGGAAAATTTGCGCCGCAAAATCTAGCGGAAAAGCTTCCCCGCTAAATCTAGCGGAAAATTTTTAAGCTAAATCTAGCGGAATGTTTTTCCTGCTAAATCTAGCAGAACATTGTCCCGCTAAATTTAGCGGACAATTTTCTCCGCTAAGTCTAGCGGAAAAATTTTTCCCGCTATATTTAGCGGAAAATTTCCCCCCGCTAAATCTAGCGGAAAATTTTCCCAGCTAGATTTATTGGAAAATTTGCCCCGCAAAGTTGAGCGGAAAAGGTTCCCGCTAAATCTAGCGGAAAATTTTTACTGCTAAATCTAGCGGAACATTTTTCGCGCTAAACCTAGCGGAAAATTTTTCCAGCTAGATTTAACAGAAAATTTGCGCCGCAAAGTCTAGCGGAAAAGCTTCCCCGCTATATCTAGCGGAAAATTTTTAAGCT